GGAGATTTTCCACACTGGGGGACCTGCTGAGCCGTGGCAGAGGAAGCCAAGCCATGAGGCAACCTCCTGTGGGCAGGAGAGCTGGAGGTCTCTGGGAAGGGCAGGTGAGGTGCCTGGGGAAAGGAGGTTCTGGCAGGGAATGTAGGTCAGATAAGGCGAGCTGGCTCACCCAGACATAGCACCAGGACATGCATGAGCCACCAGGCCCCGCTGCCAGCCACCAGGATCCTGAGCTGGACCTTGTTCTCCATCAGATCCAGTGCCCACAGCTTCCCCACCAGGCAGACTCAGTGCTCAGAGAAGCCCTGCCTTGGCACTGCCAAGCTTTGGGTTTTCCCCACCAACTTTTGGATGTTACGTGGTCATCACAGCCTCACCACCCCCACCCAGGCAAACGAGGGGCAAACAGGGCTCCTCCAGGACCCTGATCCCAACACCAAGAGATATTTTGGATGAATCGGAGCTTTTCAAGCCCTTTTGTCCCACCACTACCACAAAGGAACGTTCTACCTGCAGTGTACAGAACTGCTTGGTGCAAAAATCACTGAGTGTTCTCACATCACAGCTGACACTGTGCTAGTGGCCCCCTCGCTCCCACTGCCTGCTCTCCAGTGGGATGGATGTGTGAATCTGATTTCTAACACAGCTCCTGTAAACATTATGTAATCTGGACCTAACCCAAGCCCTGTTTGCCAGCCTTCCTGCCAGTGGAGTCATTTTGCTCCCACCAGTTATTTCCAGAATGACTAGAAAGGGGCCAGTAACACAAGGCCACAAGCTGCAGGAGCTTCAGGGAACCTGTTTTGCTCTGCTAAAATGACATAAAGCTAATTAAACATTTATCTGAACGTGAAGTATTTTGTAGTTGAAAAAAAAAAAAAGAATTTTCTCTGTTTTAAAACAAGATAGCTGAAGCTCAGATAAAGTGGGCAAATTGAGTGTGTGGCAAAAAGTCACTGCCCCAGCAAACAGCAGCCTGATAGACTCACACTACTCTTGCTCAGCTTGCATATGTCCCACACACACAAATATCACATTAACCCTCTTGGCTGTGGGCAGCCAGGCCAGTTGCTGTGTCCAACTAATTAAATATTGAACATATTACACGTGTTCAGGTATGACATTTCAGTGTTACATATTGCTACCTCACACCTCTTTTTGGAATCTACTTCCCAACAGGGGGCTACAAATCAGCCTGACCCGTGGTCAGCATTCCTGGGGATCTCCATCCACCCTGGGGCTTGTAGAAATGCACCTGGTTTATTATTTATTATTCACAGAATTCCTCAGGCAGCTCTTACAAAATTATGGTTGGAAGCTACTTAAACCTGTGGATTTTAAAGTAGCCAGGGTTGGACATATGTACTTTAACTTCTCTTTAGTCACTGTCACAGTAAAAATATTTAATTATCAGTCAATTTCTCATGTTAAAGGACTGCATTTCGAGCACTTGGCTGAGGACAGAACAAAAACCTTTCACTAAATATGGCTTTTTCTGCATCTGGCAACAGATTACCATGGGCTGGATTCCTTTGTACCACACCATTACACTCATCACTCAACACTCTGTCCAGTGTGTTCTTCCTCAGTTCTTCCTTTCCATGGAATTATGGAATTGTTGAGATTGGAAAAGACCTTTATGATCATTGATCATAAAACACGACCACATATTTTCTGTGGTCCTCAGCATCCAATTAATATTGACTCTTGTCCACTTCCCTTTCCCCCCACCCAAGCATTGCTGCTTTCACATCCTCCCTGTGCCAGCTCACTTTTCTCCAGGCTTGACCTCTCTCCAAACTGAAGCTCACAGTACATATGACGAAAGGTAGTCACCCTACTGCCAGTGATCACCCCTCTTTCCCCAGCTTTTAACTGACCATTGTTCCCAGTTTTGTGAAACTGCCCTTTCTAAACCACCAAGTACGTACACAGCAGAGATGGACTCTGAGTATGAAATGTATAATCAGGCTGCAATCACTTATTTCTGCTGCCAGGCTGCTCCCTACACTGCTCCCCACCTGTCTGTGCTCCTGCTGTACTCTCCAGTCCAGGATCCAGTTCCACTCCACCTTGCAGGACACCCTGCTCCCAGCCCCACTTGCCTACATTTGCATCATCCCTGTCCCCACAAAGCCGCCCTTCACAGTCTTTGCTTTCCAGAGCAAGCAATGTAATTTTTCTTCTGGAAGTTCTTAAAGTCTCCTTGTTCTAACCAGGAGGACTCATTACATCCGAGTTAATTTTAAATTGCTCTATGGCCACCAAGGAAGTCAAGTCTGTTCTCTGAAGGCACTGGGCCCTATTTGCCTGCTCAGAGCTCCTTTTAGCAGATTTGGCTGCCTCAGCTGTTACCAAGCCAAGAGGCTGTAGACATTGAGTTCATTAGAAGCTGTTGGAACAAGCTCTTTGCACAGCTCATTAAAAGTGCCCCCCATGCCCCTTCCAGCAGAACAGTTCCTCCAGCCCCTCCTGCCCTGCTCCAGCTCTTTGCAATCATTCACAGCCCTCCAAGCAGGGGGGTCACAGGCACTTCCACTCACGAGACAAATATTCAGCCATTTCAGCAGCAACTGGAGCGGGAGGTGACACACAGACCCTCGTGCAGAGAAGGCTCCACACAGAGCATTTCCTTCTGCTGCTTGATGTGACAGACACAAGCCACTGTTCCAGCCACGGTTTGGGGAGCGCACCCTGAGGTCTTGGCAGAACCACTCACAAAGCAGAAATTTCATTTCTCTACCTAAGAGAAAGGAGGCTGCAGACAAAAACACTTATGCAAGTCTCTCTGTCCACAACTGCAACCTACAAAGGGCATCAAACAAAAACAAGGGCAATTAACATCACATCAGCACCAGTGCCAGCCCTGTCACTGTCCCTCTGTGAAGGGACTCACACAGAGATCTGGAGAACAACCACTGCAGGGTGAAAGCCAGCCAGAGCTTTAATTGCAGCTTGCAGATGTGAATGCTGGAGTCCATCTGCAGTAAGCAAGACCAGAATTAATGGATGATTTTTCCTCAAAGGATTTTTTTTTTTCCTCTAGGGAGATGTCACATAGGTGCAGGTTTCACTGGAAGACCCAGTGCACCCACACCACAGGGTGTCACTCAAAAGAACACACTAATGCAAGAAGCCACATCCTATTTGTGGTTCTCTGTTATATCAGCTTCAAGTCAAGACTTCTTGGTCTTCAGATCCAAGCGAAACACTGGCCTTGAAGCCAAAGCTCAGCTGGCTTTTTATGGTGGCAATCCCTTGGGGAATTAAAATTGCTGAGCATCCCAGTGGGGAGAAGGTAAATGGTGACACGACGTGGGAATATATTTTAGCATTCCCAGAGCAGGAAAGTACTGCAGAGGTGCCTGTAAGATACCTTTCCACAAGGGAAACCTCATCCTGGGACCAGCAAAGGCTGAACCTTGCTGCTTCTCATCTCCTACCAGTTTCTTTTACACCTTGCAAGGCAGCACACTGACCATCCCAGCAGGAACACGGGGCTCTCCAGCTCATCCAACTCTCCTGAGTTTCAGCCGTGTGAGCACTCAGCATCATCACAGTGGTTACAGTGACCCCACCTCACCCAGGAGCTCCTCCTGCCCCAGCTTGCTTTCCCTGGATGCCCTGCCTGGGACAGGCTCCCAGTAACACCAGCAGCAGCCCAGTCAGTGGAACACCTGCAGCAGCTCTGGCGACGTGGCTGCCCAGGGCGCGCCAGGACAAACCTCCTGACTCGAGGGGCGCAGCCGAGGGCACGCGGTTCCCGTCACGCGCCAGGAGAACGTCCACACTCTGCCACCCCTGATCCCCTGCCTGCTGACTCCTCGCCTGTTCTTCCCCCTTGGTGTTTTCACACTGTGGCTAAAAGCGTAACCTGCTCCTTCCTCTCCCACAGCCTCCCTCGGCTCGGGCTGTGGATGGAGGGTCAAGCAAGCTCCAGACGTCAGAACTTAATCCCTTGTTGGTGCAACAGCAAGTTTCCTTTCTTGCTGAACAAGTGAGAGAGTTTAGTGTTGAAACTGTGGATGAATCATTGACCCCTGAATATGAACAGATACACTTGTGTACAGCAGCTCACAGCTACAGGTTCACCCCTACTCCAGACTCTGGGAGAAGTTGTGGAAGCTGCAGCTGGACTTGCTTGAAACGTGGTTAATACCCACGGGAGCATTGGAGTTAGACAGGAACCAGCACAGGGATTGGAGAGTCTCATCTCTACCACCAGTAGTGCATTCAGTGCCCATGGAAAATAAAGAACAGATCCCTAAGGCGAGTGGCAGAGCAGCCAGCCCTGTCAAGGTCTCCTTCCTTGCCCACAGCTGCCTCACTGCTTTGCCACCCCCTCAGCTGCAAACATTTCCCCTTTCCCAACACCATTTTTCCTTTGATAAACCAGCATTGATCAGACTGGACTGTGCATGAGGTCCTCCCTGGATCGCACCCCACAGTGACCAGCAGGAGTGGAGCAGGTGTGAACAGCACTAGCAGAGACATTTTCTTCTGTACATGTGGAGAAATCCCTTTCCTGAACACCCAAATCTTTCCACAGCCTGTGTGACACTATACATTTCTACCAGTACACTGAGCATTTAGATCTTGCCACAGAACCAGGTTCATCTGTGGTTTATTCTCACAAAGAGCCCCGGCACGGTCCAGACACAAGCTTGCACTGTATGATCAGTGCATCTCCTCATCCTCTAACCGTATCTCACAATTTTACAGTTGCCAAGCTCAAACAAGATACCATTAAATATACTTGACGTCATTTGTTCAGTTACTGTAAATGAACCTAGAAATGTAATTATCTCTCCACTTATAAATTGGCAAAGTAATTAAATACCTCTTGTGCAATGTGCTTTCTGCTCTTTGAGGCAGATATTTAATATAGTCCTATTCAGAACTCAGCCAATAATGTAAAATAGAAAAACAAAGGGAGATTAAATCCAAATAAATTTCTCTTTTAATATAAAGTCATTAAATAAAGCAATGATCATTCTATATTATTTTTTAATTTCAGAGGTTTATTTTGCATCTCAAATGAAAAGGTTTCACCTGACAAACATTGTACAGACTCAGTGCCAACTTTGTGTCCTTACAGCACCTGAACTACCCTGTAATCATTAAGTACTGATCAGTAGTTATTGTCAGACGTAAACAAAGTCATTCTCAAATGGATCTGAGTCAGAATGTAAGAGTGAAATCCTGCCTGCACTGAAGTCAACGGCGCAAAATTCCACAGTGACTTCACTGTCCCGTGGACTTCCACACAAGGCTCAGAGGCTCCTGGTGCCCAGGAGATGTGTATGTGGGACAGCTGCAAAAATCCTTCAGCCTGCAAAGTTTTGCAACAGGTTGCTTAATGTGCAGCCTAACGCACATGCTAAAGTACAAACCTTAACAGGAGAACTGTCTTTCCACGCCTACAAACCACCACAAATATCTTACTTACAAAACCTTCCCGGATACGGCACCAAAGGTCCCCCCAGGAGTCACCCACAGGGGTGCGGGTGGCACTCGTGGCTCCCTGGCATTCCCCAGCCCTGCAGCACAGGCACGATTCCCCAGCTCTGCAGGTCCCTCTCCCCCTGCCCACACCTCTGCCCGCTGCCATTCCCATCTCTAAGGGGATGGGGCAGCAATGCCAGGCAGCCTCAGAGTGCCAGGCACTTACCTTCTGCCCGAGCTCTGCCAGCCCCTCTCCGGGGGATGCTGGCCATAGACCTGCCTCACCTCCATTTCCCCAGCTGCCATTTGGGCACCACCAACGAAAACTACAAGGCAGTGGGGGACCAGCAAGCGATACTAGTTAGTGCCACTTAGCTTGAGCTGATGCTGAATCCAAAGTTTGTTCCCCCTCCCAATGTCTATACAAGCAACAAACAGCTCACATTATCTATCCCTTCTTCCCCCTAAAAAGCTGAAGTAACCCCAGGATGTCCCCTCTATTCGAACTCTGAGGTGGTGTGGAAGACTGAGGAGCTGTGGCAGCCCCCAGGCTTTGCAGTCCCCTCCCTCCAGGGGCAAAGCCTGGCAGGCAGGAGGGTGACCCTCTCTCGAGCCGAATATTGTTGGGGCCAAGGCAAGATGTGGCACAGAGCACCCAGGCTGTGTCTCCGGTCCGTGTCCCCAGAGCTGAGTTCCACGGGGTGTAACGCCGTTTCATACCCTTGGTCCGTGTCCCGAGTCGGCGCCCCCGGTTTGTGCTGCCGGTCCGTGACCCCTCTTGGTGTCTCCCACTCGGTGTCCCCGGTCAGCGCATCCCGCTCGGTGTCCCCCGCTCGCCTGGCAGTGCCCACCCACGCTGGCCGTGCCCTCCCTCCCCGCGGGTGCCCGGGCGCGGTACCTTGGCGGGCAGGCTGAGCAGGACGGGCACCAGCGCCAGGGGCGCGCAGAGCAGCACCACGAACCGCCGCACGCTCCACGCCTTCTTCACCAGCGCTCCCAGCGCCGCCATCCCGCGCCCATCACCGCGCCCGCCGCCGCGCACCCGCTTTATCCCCCGGGAACGGCCGGGGCGGGGCCCCCTCCCGGTGGGAGGGACCCCCACCGCCCTTCCCCGCCCTGCCTCGCCCACCGGAGGGGCCCCCGCACCGCCCCACCGCAGTTCGCCCCCTCTATGCTGGCCCCCATCACCGATACCCCCCCTTTATACGGCCCTTATATCCCCCCTTTCCCCCATCTCAACAGTTTCCCAGCCGTTTTTTTCTTTTTCCTTTTTTTTTTCATTAAAAATAAGCGAACACACCAAACAAAAGGTCAGTGGTGCGGAGCGGGATGGAGCCATGGGAAATGGCAGAAGAGCAGGAGGCAAAGTCTTGGCTCACACAAGTGTGAGCCCAAGCAAGCCAGCGAGGAGCATATGATTATCCCCTGGGTGTCCTATCAGGATGGACCTTAAGGATGCTTCAATCATGAGTTGAAAAAGCTGCCCGGTTTGAACTCTGAGGGAGGGTTTCCCTGCCAGCTCTGCCCTGTGTTGGGGTCATAGGAAAGAAAATGGTGGAGTACATGGGACAGGACAGGATCCCCTCTCCCGGACCATGGTGAACTTCAGTTAACACTGAGGAGGTCGCTGGTCTCCACCTGACTGCAGGGAGCAGCAAACATCCCAGGAGACAGAGCTGCTGCACTATCAAGATGAGCAAGAGATCAAAGTCAAGGGAGCTGGGTTTTCTCTCTGCTTTTTGCATCACCTGGATTCTCACAACTGGAGGCTAAGTGCAGCTGCGTGGTGAGGAGAAAAATGGGAAAGCAAAATAGCATCCTTAGTACTTCACCAGCATCCTTTGAGTGCTTTCAAACATATTGAAATCTTGGGTAAATTGGCCCTATATATATGGAAGATGTATAAAACTCATGTTCAGCAGAAAAACCCTTTCCTTTCACCAATAATCAGCTCTCTGAAGAGTTACTACTCCTTGATACTACTTCCTAGAGCATCATGGAAGTTGGAGTCAAATGCGTTGGATAAAAAAGCAGAACCCAGAAAGCTCTGTCCTCTTTATACAAACCATGGATCACTGGCACAAGAAACTAGAGAGGAAGAGTGTGGTGTTACAACCAGCATCAAAGACAGGACTGCACCCTTGTCTGAGTGGACTCTGCTCTGGGTCTGGATCCACCTCCTCCATTCCCTTCCCTCTCCTTAACGGCACATACATAATTTTGCACAAATAGTACCAAACCAGTTAATCCCCGCAGCCATCCCGGGCAGGGGCTAAAGGCTGACGGCATCAGCACCGCGGCTCTTTTCAAACAGCAGAACGGGCACAAAGGCTTTTGCCGGGCACTGCCGGGGGCCGCTGGCAACGCGAGGATCCGGCATCCTCCTGGCGCCCGGCCTCGCCCGGCCCCGCTGGCAAACGCGCCTTCTGCCGGGGCCCGGGAGAAAGCACAGAGCTGACCGAGGGAAAGCCATGGGGATTTTCGTCTTGCCTTTCTTTTACTGCTCAACAGAGTGAATAAAAAGTTATCATGACTACGAAAAAAAAAAAAGAGTAGGAGGTCGCTGCGCTGCCTCGGTGCCGCTGCAGTGGGCTGGGGTAGCACGAGCTGCTTCATCACTCGGGTGGTGGTGTGTGATGGAGAGGATGGGCAGATGGATGGCTGACGGCCTGAAAGCAGAATTGCCTAAAACAGGTTCAGCTTACCCAAAATACCCACGAGCCAGAGGCTGGGAGCCCCTGCATGAGTGTGTGTCACATGCCGGAGCAAAGGAGCTCTACAAAACTTCTTCTCTCAAAATCAACCTTGTCAGTCAAAAAAAGCTCCAACAGAATAATAAGCTGCCAATGTCACAGTCTGTTCTTTCTCTTGTGAGGATACAGACTTCTGGCAGTGTGGAGGGTGAGGGGACCAGCAGCACATTCCCCTCCAAGACACAAGTCACGTCCCTGCCTACACAGTCCCTTCCCGATCCCACCCGGCCCCTCTCGGCTCAGCAGGGTGGATGCTGGCTCAGCCTCCAGTGCTTCCCAGCCGAGCACATTGTGCAGGGGCTACATGCTGGTTCACTCGGCCTTCCTGGACTTCAGCTGGGAAAAAATGTTTAATTAATTTGTTTTCTTGTAAGCTCCATCTCTATCACTCCCATTTCCAGTGCCAGCAGCGGCTGCAGCTGCCCTGGCTATGCCTTCCCTGTGCTCCATGGCTATCACTGGGATCAGACCTCACTGCACTCCTGGCCATTATTCTGTGCTACTTAAAGTAAGTTTGGTTTGTTAGCAAAAGAAAGAGGTGCTGCATAGTGCCCAAAGAGACCACTGTGGGACACTGTTTGTGCTTGGGCCAGGGAGAGGCTTTATTTATCTGTAGTGACCCTCACGGAGTGAACCCGGGGTTACAAATGAGCTTTTATGCTTTTATTGCACTAACTTGGTTTCCTATCAGCACTGATGGGAGAGCAGGGTTGCAAAAGGTTATCAGTGTTTTGCATCTTGCAAAACTGGAAAATATCAATTTCCTGCAGACATCAAGGCCTAGACTGAAAAAAAGTTCACTGGAAAAAGCTACAGCATATAGGCTGTATGCACAGTTTTTATATATACACACAGTAATTACAGGCACAGAGCTGCCACCGTCCAAAAGTCAAGGCAACAGCATTCCCAGATTATGCAACAGTATCTTCATCCCTGTTCCTTGCTTGTATGTGGGTCTTTTTTCATGTCCCTTTTTCCTCTTAGTGCTCCTATAGGTCTACAACTCACATTTATCTCAAAAAATCCCCTTAGTTCAGTTCTGCCCTCATGGCATCAGTGGGCAAACACAGCTTAGCATAATTACCCCAAACTGAAGTCAGGCTGGTATCCACGAGCTCGCAAGCTGGTTCCCAGTCCCACCACAGAAATCACTGGTGATGGTCAGATACCAAAATAAACAGAAAAGGAAATTCCATCAATAACCCGTGATTCCCTCTGAAATCCTAATGCTGCCAATAAAACACCTCTATTTCCATTTCATTTCTCTTCCCTCTTTCCTTTAGCTCCTCTTTCTGCAGCTTATCTGCACCTCGTTGTGTCGTGGCACTTTGGTCCAGGTGTGGAGCCAGATCAAGCAGGCACGAGGAAGCCCCTGGAAATGAAGCTGTTCCTGGCAGGTCTGGAGTTGGTCCCCCGAGACAACAATTTGTTCTTAGAAGTGGAAAGATTCAAGCAGCAGAAGGCCCCAGAGTGACCAGCTGTCCATCCAGCACACAGCTGGAAATACGTTCTGTTCAGAGATTTTCCCTAAACATACGGATTTTCCCAGGGCTAGTGATGGTGGCAGAGAGACCCCCAGTGGTTGGGTGCACCAGGAGACATCACCCTTCACATCCCACCGTCTCAGGGTCCCCCCAAAGGCAAGCAGGAAGGTTTTGGAGAGGCTGAAGGCCAACACAGCCTTTGGAGCTGGTGACAACAGCCTCTCTGGGTAAGCCAGGGCAGGACATCACTTCTGCCAGTGTCACATGGAGCTGTAACCATCCTCAGCGTCCAGACCCGTACTCTGAAAAGGGTGGGACTGACTGTCATCTTCCCACTTCCATTCATTTACCTCTTTCCAAATATTATTGTTTTGATTTCACTTAAAAGAGTAGCTTTTGTTTTATTGGTTCTCCAGTTAAACTCAAATGAGCTAAACTGGGTTGCAAGGACTGTTTTTATAAAGTCAGACCAAACTCTGAAAGAACACTGATGGCTTGAAATTGTATTTGCAGCAGATAAACCATTCATGTGAAAAAAGAGAAGAAAATAGGAGTCCCATTTTCCTTATGGGAATGCACATGCACTGGACATAAAGCCTGAGAATTAATAATGCAATGGATAATAATAATTAAAAATATTAATAATAATAATAATACAGTGTCGCTTATGACCACACAGATGCACGGAAAGCTAACACAGCAGTATGTCAGGCTATTCCCAGTCAAACAAAGACTGGAAACTCCACCTGCCCCATGAACCAGCCAGGGAAGCAGTGGTTTTCATCCAGTGAACTGCTGCTGCAGGTATGGAATCAGAATAACCTGAGTTGGAAGGAGCCCACAAGGATTGAGTCCAGCTCCTGATGGGCTGGTGGAGTGATACAGCTGAGACTGCAAGAAGACGTGGGGTGGACATTTTGCAGGTCTGGAGTGTCCTCTTTGCTGGACAAGCACCTGCTGAGATTTTTCCATCCTCAAACAGCAATAGCTCAGCATTCACTACAACAAACCAAACGACACATCAGGCTGATCGAGAGGAAATATCAACAAGCCGTGACACAGATGTGCGAAAAGTAACACTTACATAAGGAGAAGGAGTTTATCCTGCAGTGAGAAAGCAAAACATTTTTGCTTTTCGTGACCGGTAAAGTTCTGCTTTGTTTTGAAGCTCCGTCACAGAGCTGATTTCAGCAGAGGCCAATTCAGGAGCCCCCGCTCGAAGGCCAGTCCCACGCACCAGCCCCCCGGGAGGACTGGCCTCACCACGGGCTGCCGGCCCCGAGAGCTCCCCGTGGATCGGCTTTGTTTCTGCTCCGCTGTCCCGCGGGGGGAGCTGCGTTTTAATAAACACCACGACAGTCAGAAACAGGCTTCTTCAAAGGGCTTTGCAAACAGAACTCAATCCTGGCATCACCGGGAGACAGCGAGAGCGGTGTTTGTACAGATGTTGGCCGGAGGGTGCAGCCTCCTCCGGCACGGGGGGCTCGGCTCAGCCTCCTTTGCTCACATCCTCCTGCTCCCACCGCCCCACGAGGCCCCGCTCCCGGGAAGGGG